GTGAAGGGCAGAAAGCTGCTGAAGATGTTGCTAGGATTCAGGCATTACACTGGTCCCCTGTAACCTGGTAGGATGAATCAGCCAGTACCCTAGCCAGCCCAGGGTTCTATAGCTGCTGCATCACTATATGCTCTAAATGAGCATAGGTCCCTTTAAGAGACATGCTCCACCCATTCCTCCCTCCCTTTCCCACTGCTTTTCTGAAGAGTCAATCTGGTCCTAGCCCCTTCTTCCTCTTCCTCTTTGTATTTCTCATTCCCTCTTCCCTTCCCTTTACCCTTCTCTCAATGAACTCCCCTCTTAAGGTTTGCCTGCATGGCATATTTGTCTCCCACTCACGGGGAGTCCTCTGGCTCTCACCTGACATTACAACAGATGTGGTTAAATGAGGAGGCCATGTTCCAGCCCCAGTAAGTACCTTTGCCATGTGCTTACGGTTTTAGAGTTAAGGATAGAAGAAACAGGTTATGGAATTTGACTCCATACCTAAAGAAAGGCATTGAGGCCAGGAATGTGTCAGCGGTGTCCCTGAATGGAGGCCTAGTAGGAAGGTCATTGCATGAAGCTGTAAAGATGAAGCCTAGATTGTTTTGGAGAGCTCAATATTTCAAGTCAAAGATGCCAGAGTCATGGGATACCTGTTGAGGAGAGCTGATAATCGGGAGTGGAACCAGCCCAAGAGGAAGAAGTTTGTTGCTGTCAACAAAGCTGAATAGAGTTGGAGATCTGACGAGTGTTTTGACATCAGACATGGAGATGCCGAGTTTGCCCAACTGATTTTTGGTTTTACTTTGGTACAGTATTTCCTTACTATGCTCTCTTCCCTATGTTTTGGAAGGGTAATGTATATATGGTGTGCCATTATACATTTGAAGTATGTGATCCAATTTTTTAATTTTTACAGATGATTAGAGTAAAGAGATTCCATGAATCTAAGAAAATGCTTTGGATATTGAAAGGTAAAACATTTTTGAGACTGTGATTTTTTTCAAAACTATGAGATCTTTTGTAGTTGGACTAAATAGATTTTGCACTATGGTATTGGTATGGGGTCAGGGTGTAAAATGTGGTAGTTTGAATGTAGTTGAATGCCATAATTACAAAGAGCCTGGCAGTATTAAGAGATGTAGCACTGTTGAGATAGGTATGGCCTTGTTGGAGGAAGTGTGTGACTATGGGGGCAGGCTTTGAGATCCCTTTTACTTGAGCTTTGCTCAGTGTCAGTCGACTTCCTGTTGTCTACAAGATGTAGGACTCTCAGCTACTGCTCCTGCACCACATCTGCCTGCATCCACCATGCCCACAATGATGAAAATGAACTGAAACTCTGAAACTGTAAGCAAACCACCACAATTAAATGTTATACTTTAGAAGATTGATCATGGTCATGATATCTCTTAACAGCAATAGAAACCCTAACTAAGATAACTACCTTTAAGGAAAAACAAAAATGATCCCAAATACGCACATGAGTAGAATACAACCAATTTTAATTATAGTAAACTTCCCAACTGACCAACTAAGTATTTATTTCAATTAGAATTAATCTCAAAGTAAAACTCCAATTATCAGTGCTGTGAAAAAAAAGTTTTATTTTCTATTACCCCAAAAAAAACAAATGGTTGGCCTAGGACTAGTGGGGCAAATTTATAGTCATCAGGCCCAAGTCCTTTCATTGTTCTGTTTTGTTTCTTCAGTTAGTAGCTTCCATCCTCAGCATTATGCATGGTTCATGTAGCTCTGGGATTTCCAGGTATCACAGCATTATTGCAGTTCCATAGATACATTGGAAAGCAAAATAAAACCTTTCTTTTTCTTTAAAAATTGTTATAAATATGTCACACATATCATTCGCCAGAGCTAATGGTCAGGCTCAGATGCAAGGGAAACTGAAAGAGGCTACTAGCTATATTTGTCCTTATGTAATTGGAGTGATGTTATTGAGCAATGTATGAGTTACTTTATGCCACAAATGTGCTGCCTGATAAGCAACCACAGGAACTCTATGGTAATGACTATTCATTTTTCTAGGGTTAGCATGGGCTCATGCCTGATGATTTTGATTGAGTTTGCTCAAGGGGCTTGGGTAAATCTCACTCTTGGATCCTTGAGCTGATTCAGCAGAGAGAGGAAAGGCTTGACTGACATGGATCAGCTATGTTCTCTTCTCACCCTCCAGCAGGTAGTTTGTTAATATTCCCATAGAATGAAAAGTAAAAACACTAAAGACATTTTGAGACCAAATTCAATACTGACAAACTGACATTTATGTATCTTTTTATTGTCCAGAGAAAACTACTTGGAGTGAGTAAAAACTGTCCATAAACTCTTTATGGAAAGAACTTGAGACATACTAGAAACAAGACAAGAGAGGTGGGGTAAATTCTCAGTCATGAAGATAATTGTCTTCCACAAGTAGAACAGGTAAGAAAGACGATGAACCAAGCTACTTGTAATCTCTACCCCTGTATTTCTTAGTCTGTTACAGAATTACAGTACTAGATCTTAACTCTTTATGCACTGAACTATAAAAAAATGAAAAAGTTATAATGAAAAAGGAGATAAGAAGAGTTTCTTAGATGTGTTTTAGTGACAATTATGCATTTATTTACTGCTTGATACATACTGAGTTCCTATTTAAAAAGGCATTAATGTTGATATTAGCACTGTTTCTTGTTGTTTTTACTTTTATGGTTTTCTCATTGCACTTTTGGGAGCCCACTGCCCAGCTCCCAAATAAATCACATGGAGTCTTCCTACTTATAAATGCCCGAACTTAGTTTGGCTTGTTTCTTGCCCACTTTTCTTAACTTAGAAAATCCTGTCTACCTTTTGTCTCTGGGCTTTTACCTTTCTACATACCCTTATTACTTCTTATTCCATCCCTGCTGTGTAGCTGGGTGGCTGGCTTCTGATGTCCTCCTCCCTTATTTTCTTACTGCTTTGTTCCTCCTTCCCAGATATCTTCTCCTACTTATTCACTCTGCCTGCCAGCCCTGCCTGTCCTTTTTGTGTCCAGCTATTGGCCATTCAGCTCTTTAGTAGACCAATCAGATTATAAAGGCAGGCTAAGTAACACAATTTCACAGAGTTAACCCAATACAAAATAAAAGAATGCAACACATTTTTGCATCACTAAACAAATGGTCCAGAGCATAAACAAATGTAACACATCTTAACAAATATTATGCAACAGTTACGGCTTTTTATTCTGTGCAGAGATTTGCTACATGTGCACTGATCCACAAACTTTTTCTTCAAATAAACTAGCCTACACTGTCGAGGCTTCCTACAAGTTAGTGTGGTCATAGGACTGAGCAGGTGGGCTTACTACTCCAGAACAGACTCATAAATTATCCCAAATGCAATTCTCTCCTCTCCCTATTCACAACTGAATATAAACTACTCTAAGAACGAAGTTGTAGAAGACAAGAGTAGCTTAAAGCAACACGACTTTATTCTTTGCCCTGGCCTAATCAACTACACTAGAGTGTGAAATGGACAGGACTTAAACTTCTAAGGAACCACCTGAGGCTGCCTTCCAGGTAATCTCTAGTACCAGGCACTCATTTTCTACCTAGACCTTTAATAAAAATAAAAGTAATAGCCCAAATCCCTTGCCACTTTACCCAAGAAATAATTATTTTAACTAAAAATGTACTTTTGATTATAGAATGCTATCTGTGTCATATGAAGACAAGGTCTTCGTTTACAGTTATTAGGGTTAACCAGTGTCTTACCTTTACCCTCAATGACCATCCCAACCCCTGTAGGTAACAATGCAGACAAGCATGGGGATTGAGACACTGGGTCTTTAAACAGTAAAGGGATTTCCAGGGTTATCTCCATGACCCTGGCAGTGCTTTCTCTGGACTCAATTTGTAACTTTTATTAAAGTGCAGAGATATCAACAACAAAAAGAAGTTGTTTCTAGTTATATATGTAGGCAGAGACTTCTTGTTAGATCCCGGCCATCCGGGCCCAAAATAATCAAACATGAATAATTACACATGAACTATGTTAATGAAAACACTGCTTGACCTATTAGCTTAAGCTTCTTATTAACTAACTCTTACATCTTAAATTAACCCCTTTCTATTATGCTGTGGGTTGTCACAAGGCTGTGGCTGACTGGTTTAAGTTCAGGCATCTGTCTCCTTTGGCAGCTACATGACATCTCCCTGACTCCTTGTTTCTCCTAGCACTCAGTTTAGTTTTTTTTGCCTAGCTCTATTCTGCCCTGTCAGAGGCCCAAAGCAGCTTCTTTATTAATCAATGATAACAAAGCATATTCACAGCATACAGAAGGGAATCCCATGTCATATATATTCAAAGATTAATACAAAAGACAATGGTCCAGCTACTTGGTAGCAAGCAAGCAAGAAAGAAGGCCTGCTAGTGGCTGACTTGAAGGTGTTGCTTGTTATGGTATCTGACAGTGTAACATTTATGATCACGTGAAATGTTCTAGAAACAGAGAGTCGATGGAAGCTTTTCCTGGAAGATGTGTGTGAAGGAATTCCATCCAACACTGTTGCTCTCCATTTGCTAAACCATCTTTTCTGACCTACGATTGGGGAAGAGAGAGTAATAGCCATTCATAGCATGTATGGCGGTAACACCCAAGCTTTTTTCTGTAGATTTATACTGCATGACTGCAGGTGCTCATACAACTTGTGAAAAGATGAAGACATCAGGAGCAGGTAAGCTGGATGTCAGTGAGAAAGGTGATGGCAAATGGCTGTTTTCTTGTGCTGTGTCATCAGACTTATGGGCTTCAGAAATCTAGATTTTCATTTTCTAGAAATAAACAAAATAAGCAATATAAAAAAGCAATTAAGTAGGAATGAGCAGAAACTTGCAGGTGTCAAGAAACTCATAAATAAACTCATAAAGTGCCAGGAACTTCATTTCTACCACTGGTTCCTGAAAGAGAAGGCCAGGCTAAGTCCCTCCTCAGAACCGCAGCAAGGAGACACTTTTGCAAGCACCGTGGGCAACTATGCCTGGGCTCCTTTATTTAAAGAAAGCCTGGGGATGAAGAAGAGCTGCGGGAACAACGATGATTTGGCCACAGCACAGACTTTCCCAGTCAACTGTGAGCTCAAATTTTTAAGAATGTTTTCATCTAAGGGGTCTTAACACTGCAGTTTTCTGTTCCTACCTGAAATAATTTCTCTTCAGGAAGAAAACAAATCCTAGGATGAGCAGAATGATCCCCAGAAGGGAAAGTTTCACATAGAGAATGGTCAGCAGGGAATGCAGCGTGCTGGTGACACCTGTAACTACAGGCAAGGGCAAAGAACAAATCAGTTAAATAATAGTTCTAATCAAGGGATTAAGGCAAACAGCTATAAAATCACTGACAGTATTTTTAAAGTTTTAGGGAATGTCAAAATCAGAAAACCTTATCAATTGTACTTCAAATACTACTCATGTACTACTATTTCAGAATGAAATTTAGCATCCTAGTCCAGCTTTTATGATTCATAGACATTACCAAATATCTTATAGTGAATAGGTACAAAGTATTATTGTTAATCCTTCCCAGTTATATAAGGACAAAGTTCCTGTATAATCTTTATTTTATTTTTATGAAAATATAATTACACAATTTCTATCCATTCCTATTCCTTCATCCAACCTCCCAATGCTCCTTCTTAAATTCCTAACCTCTTCTTTCTTAATTGTTTTCCTTGCCTATTTTTATATAATATGCAAATGAAATCTGCTTAGTTTTTGTTGCTTGAATGTACATGATTTCAGAATTGGCCACTTGGTATTGGATAACCAATTATGGAGCCATCTCTGAGGAAAGATTATTTCTCCCCCGTTCAGTACCTCTTAATTATCTATAATTATTAGTTAAGGGGTGTCTTAGTTAGGGTCTTCATTGCTGTGAAGAGACAAGCAGACCATGGCAACACTTATAAAGACAACATTTAATTGGAGTGGCTTGTTTACTGTTTAAGAGGTTTGGTCCATTTTCATCATGACAGGGTGCATGGCAGCATGCAGGCAGATGTGGTGCTGGGGCTGAGAGTCCTACATCTTGAAAGCTACAGTAAGCCAACTGCCTCATTGGGTGGTTCCTAAGCATAGGAAACCTCAAAATCCATCCCCACAGTGACACACTTCCTCCAAGAAGACCATACTCACTCCAGCATAGCCACACCTCATTATAGTGCTGCTCCCTATAAGATTATGGGAGCCAATTACATTCAAACAAACAGAAGGGGTGAGGACCCATGAGATTTACCGCTACCATGCATGTATATCTATTGATGTTGACTTGTTGAGGTTTCATGGGTGAAGCTTTCCTGTCATTTCCAGGAGACACTAAGACAAAAAGGCAACCTACTGACTGGGAGAAGATCTTCATCAACCCAGCAACAAAGGTCTGATCTCCAAAATATATAAAGAACTCAAGAAACTAGACTTTAAAATGCTAAATAACCCAATTAAAAATTGGGGCACTGAACTGAACAGATAATTCTCAACAGAAGAAGTTCAAATGGCCAAAAGACACTTAAGGTCATGCTCAACCTCCTTAGCGATCAGGGTAATGCAAATCAAAACAACTTTGAGATATCATCTTACAGCTGTCAGAATGGCAAAAATGAAAAACACCAATGATAGCCTTTGCTGGAGAGATTATGGAGGAAGGGGTACCCTCATCCATTGCTGGTGGGAATGCAAACTTGTGCAACCACTTTGGAAATCAGTGTGGTGATTCCTCAGGAAATTCGGGATCAACCTACCCCTCGACCCAGCAATACCACTATTGGGAATATATCCAAGAGATGCCCTATTATATGACAAAAGCATTTGTTCAACTATGTTCATAGCAGCATTATTTGTAATAGCCAGAAACTGGAAACAACCTACATGTCCTTCAATGGAAGAATGGATGAAGAAAGTGTGGAATATATACACATTAGAGTACTACTCTGCGGTAAAAATAATGACTTCTCGAAGTTTGCATGCAAATGGATGGAAATAGAAAACACTATCCTGAGTGAGGTATCCCAGACCCAAAAAGATGAACATGGGATGTACTCACTCATAATTGGTTTCTAGCCATAAATAAAGGTCACTGAGTCTGTAATTTGTGATCCTAAAGAAGCTAAATAAGAAGGTGAACCCAAAGAGAAACATATAGTTATCCTCCTGGCTATGGGAAGTAGACAAGATTGCCGGGCAAAAAAACTGAGATCTTGGGGGTGGGGTGGGATGGGGGTAAAGGGAGAGGGGAAGATAAAAGTGAGAAGGGGAGGATGGAGGGAACTTGGGGAAACGGGATGATTGGGATATAGGAGGGTTGGATAGGGGAGTAGGGAAGCACATATATAAGTTAAGGGAGCCACCTTAGGGTTGACAAGAGTCTCGAACCTAGAGTGGCTCCCAGGTGCCCCAGGCAATGTCCCCAGTTAGTTCCTTGGGCAGCTGAGGATAGGGAACCTGAAATGACCCTATCCTATAGCCATACTGATGAATATCTTGCATATCACCATAGACTTCATCTGGCGATGGATGGAAATAGAGACAGAGACCCACACTGGAGCACCAGACTGAGCTCCCAAGGTCCCAATGAGGAGCAGAAGGAGGGAGAACATGAGCATAGAAGTCAGGACCACGAGGGGTGCGTCCACCCACTACGACAGTGGGGCTGATCTATTGGGAGCTCACCAAGGCCAGCTGGACTGTGACTGAAAAAGCAGGGGATAAAACCGGATTCTCTGAACATGGCGGACAATGAGGGCTGATGAGAAGCCAAGGACAGTGGCGCGGGGTTTTGATCCTACTTCATGTTCTGGCTTTGTGGGAGCCTAGCCAGTTTGGATGTTAACCTTCCTCGACCAGGATGAAGGGGGAAGGACCTTGGATTTTCCAAGGGGCAGTGAACCCTGACTGCTCTTTGGACTGGAGAGGAAGGAGGAGAAAAGTGGGGGGAGGGGGAGAGGGGTGGGAGGAGGAGGAGGGAAATGGGAGGCTGGGAGGAGGCGGAATTTTTTTTTCTTTTCAAAAAAAATATAAAATAAAAAAAACAAGCTAATAAACACACAAAAAAGTTTTTATCTATCTATCTATCTATCTATCTATCTATCTATCCATTCATTCATCCATTTTACATACCTGTCACAGTTACCCCTTATTCCTCTCCTCCCATTCCCTACTCCCCAGCTCCTCTCTACCTCCTCCCAATCCACTCTTTCCCTATTCCTGATCAGAAAGGAGCAGGCTTCCCATGGATATCATCAAAGCATCACTTATCAAATCACCTATAGACTAAGTGCCTTCCCTTTGGTTTAGGCTGGGCAAAGCAATCCAGTGTGAGGAATAGGTTCCTAAGAGCTAGTCAAAGAGGTAGAGAGAGTCACAACTCCCAGTGTTTGGAGCCTGACAAATAGAGAAAGCTACACAATTGTCACATATTAGGGTAATCCCATGCAGGCTCCCTCATTGTTTGCTCAGACTCTGAGTTTCTGTAAGCCAGGTTACATGTTTCTATGGGTTTTCTTTGATATCTTTGAACTCTCCGACTCCAAAAATACTTCCTCCCTTTCTTCAGAAGGATTCCTGGTGCCCAGCTTAATGTTTGACTGTGGATCTCTATATCTGTCTCCATCAGTTACTGGATGAAGGCTCTCTGATAACAATAGCAATATGATCATAGGACATGATCAGTTCAGGCTAGATATTCACTATTGCTAGGAGTCTTAGCTGGGATCATCCTTGTAGATTTGTGGGAGTTTCCCCTGTCAGGTTTCTACCTGATTCCCCAAATCCACCTTTTCCAGTTTTCTCCTTCAGTACTCTAAACCTCCAGTCACTCCCCAAACCAATCCATCAAGTTACTATGTCCATTCGTCCCCATTCTACCCACGACTTCTTTTCTATTTTCTTTTCCCAGGGACATCCGTGTGTCTCACCTTGGGTCCTCCTTGTTACCTAGTCTCTCTAGGTCTGTGGATTTTAACATGGCTATCTTATGTTTTGCAGTTAAAATCCACTTATGAGTGAGTACATACCTTGTTTGTTTTTCTAGTTCTGGATTACCTCTCTCAGGATGATTTTTTTTCCCTAGATCCATCCATTTGCCTTCAAATTTCCTGTTCCTCATTGTTTTTTTACAGATGAGTAATAATCCATTGTGCAAATGTACCACATTTACTTTATCCATTTTTTGGTTGAGTGGCGTCTAGATTGTTTCCAGGTTCTGGCTATTACAAATAATGCTTCTATAAACATAGTTGAGCAAGTGTCTTTGTGGCATGATTGAGCATCTTTTGGGTATATGTCCAGGAATGATATAGCTGGGTCTTGAGGTAGATTAATTCCCAGTTTTTTGATAAACTGCCAAATTAATTCCCAAAGTGGCTGTATAAGTTTGCACTTCCACTAGCAATGAAGGGGTGTTCCCTTTACTCCACACCCTCTCCAGCAAAAGGAGCCATTTTTATTTTTGTTCTTAGCCATTCTGACAGGTGTAAGATGGAATTTCAGAGTCAATTTGACTTACATCTCTCTATGACTAAGGATATTTGTCATATACTTAAGTGTTTTTCAGTCATTTGAGATTCTTCTGTTGAGAATTTTCTGTTTAGGTCTGTACCTTATTTTTAAAAATGGATTATTTGGTTTTTGATATCTAGTTTCTTGACTTCTTCATATATTTCAGGAATCAGGTCTCTGTCAGATGAGTGGTTGGTGATGATCTTTTTCCATTCTGTAGGTTGCTGTTTTGTCTTATTTACAGTGTCCTTTGCCTTTTAGAAACTTTTCAGTTTCAGGAAGGTCCTGTTTATTAACTGTCGAGTTTTGTGTCTGTGCTACTGGTGTCCTATCCAGGAAGTTGAAGAGACAAAATTTTATAGTAGATTTCCTGGTCCTATGGCTCTTTTAATAATATTCTATAATATTCCCCGAGAATTAGGTAAAGAAATTGTGTTATATAAGTATCCAAGGAAACTGGACATCCTATGATCACTGTGTTCTGCATTTTGATCATTTTTGGCATTCTATAATGGTTTCTATCTATTACAAAGAAAAACTTCTTTGGTAAAGGTTAAGAGCTACACTTACTAGTGGGCATAAGGGTATTTTGAATTCAGATAATCAATGCTCTGGTTTAGTAAAGGGCTGTAGTATATTCATCTCTAAGATCAATGACCTCACTAACCTTGAGTAGTTGGTTAGGTTTCCAGTACCAGGCACGATATTCCTCCTATTGAGTGGGTCTTGAATATAATTGGACAGCTTTTGGTTGCTACCAAGATATGGTTACTGTTTAACCTTAGGGACTAACCATGCTGGTCATTGCTGTGGTTCATAAGCTCCATAGCCAGGTGGGACTACCAAGTGCTTCCCTTTTGGGGCACCTTGCACAGCACTTTGGTGACTATGAGATTCAGTCTTCAGGGAGGAGGTTTTCGGGTCAAATCCAGCTTAGATCCTCTGAGTCCTCTGTCTGAAGGGCATCCCATGCAAATATTAGACTTTTGAAAGGCATTATTCTTTTTTTATTTAAAAAAAGTTTTGAGAATTTCGTACAATCATATTCACCTACAACTTCTCATCCTAACTCCAATAAGATCCCCATTCGCTTTGTTACCACACCAACTTTTTATCATTGTTTTTATAACACACTGACTTCAGTTTATCCTGCCCATTTACTCCTGGGTTGGGGCCTATGAGGAACTACAGCCTCAAAGATAGCTGACTCTCTCTCCTTAAGAACCCATCAACTGTCCTTAGTTCCACATTTTTCCTTGCAGGGACTCGGGGGTCTCTTTTCACTCCATGATAAACATTGATTGGCTTTAGCTTGCACAGGAAACTCCTTTGCTGGGAGCTTGTGAGTTTAGAGACCCTGCCTGTCAAGTCCAGAAGTCACTTCCTCTGACCTCTCCTGACCCTGGAATTTACCAAAAATTTTTCTGCTTTTTTTTTCCCCTTGACCAGTGGAAAGTTTCTGCTCTATCTACTGTTCACTTAAAAAGTGACCTCTCTGAAGAGCCATGAGAGTTGCAGTGATCTACGGGTAGAAAGATATAAATTTAGAGGGTAGTTTGATTCTACGTCCATTCTGCAGAATAGTAGCTTGTGAGCTCCACTCTTACGGGAAATCTGTCACTGGTCTGATACTCAACTGAGAGGCACGTTTTGGTTCAAGAGACAGGGTTTTCATTAGGGATGGAAGTGACCAAGGAAGGGATGTTTTTTATTTGTTTGTTTGTTTGTTTTTACCCATAAGGAACAAGCAGCTGTGGTTGAAACACAGTGGCTTACAACTCTATTCAGGTTCCCTATGTATTCTTTAATATTTGTGCATGGATTTTACACTTTACTAAATGATAAAAGACTTCTTTAAGACTCCCCATCCAGAGGCTCTTGGCAGCAATTGAAATACCAGGTACACATTTTCTTATGTAACTTATATCAATCAGAAGCAGTTAGTAGCCTCTATAACATCCATGCCATTTTCACTCACAGGCATTGATCACTCATCAGTTGATGGACATCTAAGCTGTGTCCATGACCTAGGACAGGAGCATCCATGAACACGGATGGGTATATAGCTCTGTAGTCAGAGTACTTTTATGTTCCCAGGAGTGGAAGAGCTTGGTCATATGGGAGATCTCTTTCTAGTTTTCTAAGGTACAGCCACATTTATCTCCATGGTGGATGCACCAATTGTACTCCCAACAGTGCATGAAGTTTCCCCGACTTCAAACATCTACTGTCTTTTATTTTAATATTAAGTATTCTGGCTGAATTAAGACCAAAATCTCAAAGTAGTTTTAATTGGCATTACACTGATAGTTAAGAATAGTGAGCCAAGCCGGGCGGTGGTGGCGCACGCCTTTAATCCCAGCACTCAGGAGGAAGAGGCAGGTGGAGCTCTGTGAGTTCGAGGCCAGCCTGATCTACAAGAGCTAGTTCCAGGACAGGCTCCAAAGCCACAGAGAAACCCTGTCTCGAAAAAAAAAAAAAAAGAATAGTGAGCCATTTAAAAATATTTCTAGATCATTTGTATTTCGTCTTCGAAGAACAATCTATTCAGATTCATAGCTCATTTTTAAATTTGGTTGTTTCTTTTCCAGGTGTATTTTATTTATTTATTTAGTTAGTTAGTTAGTTAGTTAGTTAGTTGAGATTTCTGCCTCCTCCCCGCCACCGCCTCCCATTTACCTCCCCCTCCCCCAATCAAGCCCTTCTCCCTCATCAGCCCGAAGAGCAGTCAGGGTTCCCTGCCCTTTGGGAAGTCCAAGGACCTCCCACCTCCATCCAGGTCTAGTAAGGTGAGCAACCAAACTGCCTAGGCTCTCACAAAGCCAGTACGTGCAGTAGGATCAAAAACCCATTGCCATTGTTCTTGACTTCTCAGCAGTCCTCATTGTCCACTATGTTCAGTGAGTCCGGTTTTATCCCATGATTTTTCAGACCCAGGCCAGCTGGCCTTGGTGAGTTCCTGATAGAACATCCCCATTGTCTCAGTGTGTGGGTGCACCCCTCTCGGTCCTCAGTTCCAAGCTCATGTTCTCTCTCCTTCTGCTCCTGATTTGGACCTTGAGATTTCAGTCCGGTGCTCCAATGTGTGTCTCCATCTCAGTCTCCTTTCATCGCCTCATGAAGGTTAATATTCAGGAGGATGCCTATATGTTTTTCTTTGGGTTCACCTTCTTATTTAGCTTCTCTAGGATCATGAATTATAGGCTCAATGTCCTTTATTAATGGCTAGAAACCAATTATGAGTGAGAACATCCCATGTTCCTCTTTTTGGGTATGGCTTACCTCACTTAGGATAGTGTTTTCTATTTCCATCCATTTGCTTTCAAAATTCAAGAAGTCATTGTTTTTTACTGCTAAGTAGTAGTCTAATATGTATATATTCCATACTTTCTTAATCCATTCTTCCATTGAAGGGCATCTAGGTTGTTTCCAGGTTCTGGCTATTACAAACAATGCTGCTATGAACATAGTTGAGCATATACTTTTGTTGTATGATAGGGCATCTCTGGGTATATTCCCAAGAGTGGTATTTCCTGAGAAACCGCCACACTACTTTCCAAAGTGGTTGCACAAGTTTGCATTCCCACCAGCAAAGGATGAGTGTACCCCTTACTCCACAACCTCTCCAGCAAAGACAATCATTGGTATTTTTTATCTTAGCCATTCTGACAGGTGTAAGATGGTATCTTAAAGTTGTCCTGATTTGCATTTCCCTGATCACTAAGGAAGTTGAGCAAGACCTGAAGTGTCTTTTGGCCATTTGAAGTTCTTCTGTTGAGAATTCTCTGTTCAGCTCAGTGCCCCATTTTATAATTGGGTTGATTAGTTTTTTACAGCCTAGTTTCTTGAGTTCTTTATATATTTTGGAGATCAGACCTTTGTCAGTTGCGGGGTTGGTGAAGATCTTCTCCCAGTCAGTGGGTTGCCTTTTTGTCTTAGTGACAGCGTCCTTTGCTTTACAGAAGCTTCTCAGTCTCAGGAGGTCCCATTTATTCAATGTTGCCCTTAATGTCTGTGCTGCTGGGGTTATACGTAGGGAGTGGTCTCCTCTGCCCATGCGTTGTAGAGTATTTCCCACTTTCTCTTCTATCAGGTTCAGTGTGTTCGGACTGATATTGAGGTCTTTAATCCATTTGGACTTGAGTTTTGTGCATGGTGATAGATATGGATCTATTTTCATTCTTCTACAGATTGACATCCAGTGTATTTCATTTTTTTAATGACTTGCATATCTAGATATGAATCCTCTATCAGATCTGTATACTACTTGTCCAGTCAATTAACAATTTCCTTTGTAGTTCAGAAACTTCTTAATCTCATGAATTTCCCACTTGTTGGCTTTTTTTAAATCTAAATTACCTAGCAACCAGAGTCCTATTGAGAAAGCCCTTACCTGAGTCTATACACTGCAGGGCATTTAGTCTTTAAATATGGGACACTTACCTTGATTGAGTTCTATGGGCAGAGTCTGGTTGCCAGTTGGATGGGAGACAAAACAGAACACAGCAGACACATTGTTCTGCTCCCAGTGGTATGAGCTCCTGACAGTCACAGTGCCATTGCTGTGTGATTCCTGCTTAGTGACGTGATCCCCATCTGGACTCCAAAAGATCTGCGCAGCCGGCTTGCCTGCAGTTGCCTCACAAACTGCTGTTCTGTTTTCCCCTGGCAGCAGGGTTACTGTTGGAGGCACTGTGGAGATGGAAGCAAAAAATGATTCAGTCTTGTCCCAAATTACAAAGGCGTCTGATTCTATCTACAATCTGGTGACCTGAAATAGCACGATATGTGACCCTGTCACTTACCTAGCACTTGGAGGTCATGTCTCCTTTGGAAATTCCCCTGCAGTGTTGCTATTTCACATGAATAAAGCCCGTCATGACCGAGGGCCACTGCATTGATCTGAAGGTCAGGACTCTGGTCAGGTGTGGATGCCCAGGTGATTCTCTTATCTGTACAGTTTGTTTCATTGATCTCCTTTATTTCTGCTCTGTAGGATATTCTGCAGGGAGGCTGCCCTCTGAGGGCTATGACCCACATTATTAATACTGCTTCTGTCATTGGAAGAGCAGGGCAGCACAGCAGAGCCTTTGCACCCATCTGTACAAACAGTGTAGTGTTAACTGGACACAAACACAGAAAGAATGAGAAAAGGAAACCTGCGTTAAGTCTGTCTACAGCAGTGTACATGAAGTTACAGAAGAGCATTGCTTGACTTATGAGTGTATTCCAGATAAATTTGATTTTTTCACATTTCTTGTTTCTGTGTGTTCAATCTATAGAAACTAAATATATTATTCACCTTCTAAAGTAAAAATTAAATGCCTGTTGGCTGCATGCATCATGTACTATAAAACCTCCCACTTCTTATATACTGACTAAGCATCCATGATGGACACAGGTTTGCTTAGTGGTGATTACTCAACAAAATTATATGTTATAGTCACCTGTAACAAAAAAAAAGTCAGTAATGTTATCACTTTAACATGAGCAGAAGTCACGGTGAATAAACCTTGACTCGGATAAGCATTGTATTAACCAGCTCAACTACACCATTTCAGTGGCACTTGCCTCTTTGAGGTCTCCAGGTCCTCACAACTCACATCAAACAAAAGTCATCTAATTAGATGACAAAGGGTTCTTTAGCAGAGACTTGGGAGGGTGCTAAATCCCATAGCTTCTCTTACTCTAAGACAGCAAAGCTGCAGAGGCCATCATTCAGGGTCCCTCCTGACATAACTCTCACATCACCAGATTCTTCCACTCATCCTAAGTCTCTCCAAAAGCTAAAGCATTAGGTGCTGTTTCTAAGCAAGGTGAACTCTCCATTTCCTCAGTTCTGAACACAAGATAGAGAAGAACAGTACCTTCTGTCTTAGGTAATGAACCATTCTGTGATGCTTGATTTCCATTTGTACCACTTGACTCTAGAAAATATTTAAATAAGAATGTTTAAATGTTTAAATAATTATAAGGCAATAATTAGAAGTTTAATCATCACTGACATGTCAATACCTTGGAAATTATATTTTAAAGGTATTAACCCATTATTTACCATTTATGAATGACCTTATTTTGTCAAATAGTTTGTAGAGTAACCCTGATTTCCTTCTTCCAGCTCCTTGACAGTTCCAGTGTAGGCATACCACATAAGATAGCTTGGTTAAATTCCTTTCTCCACATGCCATCCCCTAATTAAAGCCAGAATTCCGGCCACAAGATAGAGAAGAATAATGCTTTCTGTCATGGGTAATGAACTACTCTGTGTCATTTGATTCCAATCCACACCTGAACATCTTGACTCTAGAAAATATTTAAATAAGAGTGTTAAATATTTAAATGATTATAAAATGGTAATTAGAAGTTGTATCATCATATGTCAATATCTATTTCAACATTTTTAAAAAATAGACTTATTACATATTAAGAAAGTATTACCTTTTATGAGGAACCTTATTTTGTTGAAAATTTGTAGAGTAGCCCTGCTTTCCTTATTCCAGCCCCTTGCCGGTTAGGCATAATGCATGATCTGACTTGATTAAACTCCTTTTTCCAGATGTCACTTACTGGTAGATATTCAGTCACACTGTGAGCCCAAAGTTTGCATTTGCATTGATTAAATAAAAATAACCGTGGATTAGGAGACTGAGTTACAACTAGTTGACAGGAAGTAATCATAGAGCACCAGAGAGCATGAAGAAGAGAAACAGAAACACAGGAAGTAGTAGGGTGGGATTTGGAGTGGCACATCGTTCTTTGTTTTCATTTGGAAGGGCAGGACAGGGGCTTTTTGAAGACACCAGCAAGGAGAGGTTATCTAGCTGTGACCAGCATCTCTGAGCTAGCAGGTTTTCAACCCAGCCTTTGAATCTTGAGTCTTATCTATAAACAGAATATAAAGATTTAGTTAAAGCAACCTTTAGTGGCCTTGAGAGAGCCAGTGCCCACTGGAACAGAATTTCTGTCAGGCTGCCACCCTAGTGCCACCTGATGAGGAAGCAGGCATGTAACTGTGGAGTAACTGTTGTTGGCTGAAATAGCAGTTGATTAAGGTGCAGACACAGTGCCGAAATGTAACCAACATTTGGTGTTCCTGTGTGCGGCAAGATCACACATATATTTAAATGAGTAGTCATTAGTGGGTCTTACTATTAGAGAAAGATTAGATGGTGTGGTCTTGTTTGTAGAAATGTGTTGCTGTGGGTGGACTTTGGAGTTTTAGGAGCTCAACTTAGACTCAGTGATTACCTCTTCCTGCTGCCTTCAGATTCAGACCCAAGTATAGAACACTCAGCTGCATGCCTCCATTCTAACAACAATGAAGGTAATGGACTAAGGCTCTGAAACTGTAATCAAGACCCAATTAAATGCTTTCCTTTATAAGAGTTGCCATCTTCATGGTTTCTTTTCTCTGCCTAAGACAGATGCTTTTCAAGAAATAAATAACTAGACAGGAAGAAAAGAATAAAATTATTTCCTTACCCTAACATATTTATGCTACTATGAGGCATCATCATGTTCTTTAAAAGTAGAATTGAACTAATTCTAAATGCACATCTCAAGTATAAAAGAAAAAATTCCTATGCCAATTAACAAGAGACAATAAAAGCACATAAGATCTTTAATTAAAAACAGAGAAGGATACAAAGAAAACTCTCACTCTCTGTTCCTTGAGAACCAATTCCTGATGGTCCTTCCTAGCATGAAGGCATAAGTCACAAATCAATCCCACACAAGTTTGGAATTATGATTAATAAAAGGGTTATTTATTTAAAAGAAAAACTTACAGATCACTGTACTAGACAACAGCACTCTGCATGACCAGGAAAAGGGGTCTACTAGCCAGAAGCAGAGTCTGAAGCAAGAGAGAGAGCTCACAGCTACCACTGCTTTAAAAAGCAGCAGAGATCATGCCCAAATGGGCTGGTATCTTAAAGGCTATTGGCTGAAGGAGCAGAAGGAGCTCCCACAGTACCTCCCCCTTTTGTTTAAGTAAGAGAGTTCTAAATGTATTACAAAATTATCTACAATAAGAACAAATATCCTATTCTAATAGCTTAAGTCTTGTATAATAAATAACTTGGTCAAGTCATGGGAGGAAAGTAACATTATTTATCTAGTCTTCAATCCCATCGAAGATATGAGAAGGGTAATGTTAGCTGAGTGATTAGGAAGTGAGATCAAACAGCTTCCAAAACATGCATCAAATCACAGAGACAACTGGCTACCTGGGCAATGACCCAAAGTCATGTTTTCAGCTTGAAACAACCAACTTTGGCTAAGGCCTAGAATAATTGACAGATTATTTTTAAAGACAAGAGAATTTTCAAAACCGTCTTACCCTGTCTTGGCAAGAGACAGTTCTGCTTATCCATTTCCGGATACTATGTATTTTGTCAGTAGTTGAGGTATGGGCAGTTCCTTGCCCAGAAGCTGGTTTTGCCAAGAAGAAGACAAGCTCCAAGAGGAGTGTCTTTGGTGCTCAAAAATCTCTCAAGAATACATTGGTGTTGCCAGGAACAATTGTGTCTTGTTACCACAGAACTCTAAGTTAGATTAAATGCCATTTTCTTCAGCTCTTTGAAGAGGTTAAAGCTTATCTATTTATACAGAATATAATCCCTATGTATCTAAAGAACCTGATTAGTCTAACTATAAATATGATAAACATAGATGACTATTGATCTATAATTCCTAATACCTATCTAACTTGAAGACTAAGACAATAGACAACTGTGCAATAAATGAGGACAATGACCTCCGAATGTAAACAATGTATAAGTTCTTGATCAGAGGTAGAAATGTACACTGCAATATGGTAAATATATATATATATATATACATACATAAAAATGTTTTAAACAGAGGTAGAAGCATGCATGCATACAATATTCAATATAATTTAACTTTATATTCATATATAAGAATCTATACCAATGTAGTTGTCTATAAACAATAACTCACAAATACCAATCTATTATCCCATCATCCAATTTTTCCACTTTTTTTTTTCTAAAGATCCCTGAGCTTATAAAATTCCTCCCCAAACCCTCAACCGAAAACAACCCCTAAATGATGTCTCTAAACCTGAGGACAAACTTTGCTGGGAGAGCAAAGTGCCTATATTGGCATTCTGTTCGTCACTTTCTTCTGTGTCCCTAAGAATGGCTGGCAGTCCATGAAGCAAGAACTACAAAGGACCATCTCACCTGTAGGTAAATTCAGCAGTCATTTTTCTGTGTGTCCTGCATGTCCAATTCTTTCATCAAACAGTTCAGGCAAGAGCAGTTTCTTTCCCAAATGACTAGCCAATTCTATAAGGAGCTTCACTGATGCCCTTCTTCCTCTGATACTACCAGGAACAGATGAGTCTCATTGTCATAAAAAAGTCCTAAGTTTTTAAAACATTTTAAATGCCATATTCTGTAGTCTTTGAAAGGTTTGAAGAATACCTAGCCATCTGAAAAACATCTCTGTACATCTAGAAAACCTAACTAACATGACTACAAGACTGACTATTATAGATGACTATTTATTAACATATGTTTCTTAACTTTACCCTTTTTTAAATCATTATCTTTATTTTATGACTCTCAATACTCTTTTTATTCTCTCTTCCAAGCCTACATACTTTTATCCAACACTATGACTCATTTGTATTTGTCTTTATTGCACATCTGCAATTCTTTACTGTCCAGAAGCACTTTTTAAAATACTAAGCACTTCTTAAAACTTAAGCTGTGCCATTACTATGGTATATATGGTACTTCCTGCTTGCCAGTCCAGTCCAGCATGGTGGAGTCAGTCACGTTTCTGAGAGCCATGCACATAGCCCCATTCTCAGGCACACAGCCAGTCCACATTGCCATTTTTCAAACTGAAGCAGTCTGCTCACAAACCCTACTCAAATGCTTTGTAGCTGAACCTCTTGCCTGAAAGAGTCAAGAGTTACACTGGTAGCATGATCCAAAAAGCAGCATTTCAAAACAGTGTGGTTTCTTTTCTGCTACAGCTGAATCAGGAAAACTTCTCTTAAAGGATATGTGCCACACTGCCAGCAAACAGTAAGAAGCTGTGTTAAACTCTGTATTTTTCTGTCTAGAATTCCTTTTCAAGCCCTCTTGGGTTTTAAGTGGATTTTAATCAACCACATTGGCACCGATTTGTTGCATGGAGGCTGCTTGTTGGCTCCCAGCTGCCCAGCTTGCTTAGACCCAAAATAAGCACACAGAAACTGTATTAATTAAATCACTGCTTAGCCCGTTAGCTTAGCTTCTTATTGACTAACTCTTACATATTAATTTAACCCATTTCTACTCATCTGTATGGCCACATGACAGTGGCTTACTGACAAAGTTTCAGCATGTCTGACTCTGGTGGAAGCTCCATCGCTTCTCTCTGACTCCGCCCTTCTTTCTCCCAGCATTCAGTCTAGGTTTCCCTGCCTACCTAAGTTTTGCCTTGGTACAGGTCCAAAGCAGTTTCTTTATTCATTAATGGTAATCACAGCACACAAAGAGGGTCCCATATCAGTTCTCTCAAATCTTCTTCCTTCTTTTGGTTGGGGAAGATAATTTTGAGGTTACATAAACCTTTCAGTGGGTCTTATTCCATCAAACCACATTAGCCTGGAAGTAATTCACATGAAGCTTTTGCAGCCACTATGGAAATCAATATGGTGATTCCTCAGAAAATTGGGAATTGACCTAACTCAAGACAAAGCTATACCTCTCCTGGGCATATACTCAAAGGAAGCTCCACCATACTACAAGGACATTTGTCCAGCTACATTCATAGCAGCGTTATTCACAATAACCAGAAACTGGAAACAATTTAGATATTCATCAACAGAAGAAGAGATAAAGAAAATGTTGTACACCCTTCTAAGAACTAACCAGGTCCAACCCTGCTTGTAAGATACACTGTTTCTTTGGGGTTACTATTGACAATTTGTCAAAAGCAGAGAAGTATTGAACTGTATGTGCAACATCCCTCCTGACCAAGATTCTTTCTTTGAGGTTACAAACAACCAGGAGTAATTTAAGGAGGACATACAGTGAGCATATAGTTTAATGGCACAGAATGGTGGCAAATGTACTGCAGCTGCTGTTTAGGTTGGGCAAGCAGCCAAGAAGCAAACACAGCTGTCTGTGGAGAGGCAGTTTAATGGCAAACAATAGAGAATCTGATACAAACAAACCCAATTAAGAAGACCTTATTTCCATTATTTATCTAATCATCAAACAAACTTGCTAATTTTGATTGGTTTCATACTTACTTATTAGATGGTGTTCTGGATCATTTTGTGTCCTTTCTGAAATAGAAAACAAGATTAAGTATTAAGATGGCTTGAGAAAACGCTAAGGTGGTATTCAAAGTTATCAATAAGGTCAGAGTTATTTAGAGAGGATGTCATTGTTGCCACAACAGAGAATCCAATAATCCAGGCCAAGTTCAGCATGCATAATTCACGGAACTTCACCCAGAGATCATGGCACACAAAGCAAAGTTCTTTCCAAGCATAAAGAAAGACTACTGTCAACACAGCATAACCTTCATCTGACTTCTTTGGTTCTCTCCTCCTCATTCTTCAGGTAGATGAACACATAGACCATGTGTGACCTCTGAAACCTGCAATATAATAAAACATTCAACCCCCAGGTGCTCCTAAGACTGTGAATGACCACAGGAAAAAGAAGTTTTGGGTGAGATTCTAGGTGTTCATTTTGAAACAAAGACTGTGCCTCTCACTTCCTGCATTCTCACACAACATGCATCTTCCTGGACAGATAATGACCTCTGCATTTTTCTGATGTCCCCAATCAGAAACTGACCTAGGACAATTAAGAAGCACAGAGCTACAAGTCAATGCATATATCTGGGTGGCTGTTCCTGGCTCTTTAGGATAATCTCCTTGTACTCTGCCTTGCTTCACAAGATGCCTTTCCTCATTCTAGGAGAGAAATGCTTTCTTGAAAACACCCAAGTCTCCTTCTGTCCACATTGGTACTTACACAAACCAATTTCTATTATGAACATAAAAAACAAAGGTAAATTGTATGCAAAAACAGGGGCATTTTAAGTATCCCCTTAGAAAAATATTTCAAGAGGAAAAATAAAATAAAATAAAAATAAAATACTTTTATTGTATTTCCAAATTTTACTAATTATAAGCATTGTTATAGTTCCAGAACATATTTCTTTCCACATTTCATAGGCAGTTCGCTGAGTACTCTGGGCTCAAAAATAAAAGGAATATTTTTGTTCTTTCCCAGTGATCCCCATTTCCCTAAAGATGGCTATATATTTAGCTAAAATTTAAACTAATCCTAAAAAGAAATGTATTTAACTTCTACAAAAGAGCAACAATCCCCAAAAGTAAGATATGATTTCTATTTGTAAGGTACTATAAGTTTTGATGGAACTGGACATATTTTTATATAATGCACAGGGAAAAGAAATGTGTGATGAATGAGGGACATAGACCTTACAAAGGAAAAGGATAATTGTGATAGGCATAAAAGTGGATATTCTGAAATAGATGGGAATGGCATAGCAACGATGATGATGGAGATGAGAGAAGGCTGGACCAGGGAAGATGGGTCATGTGTGTGAGCTTGAGGACCTCTGCTGAATCTTCAGTATCCACATACGAGGTAGAAGATGACAGCTCCTGTCTCCAATCCAGTGCTAAGGCAGCAACAGGAGCATCTCAGTATCTCACTGACTAGCCAGCCTAACAATTCCATCGAGTCCTGAGTTCACCGAGAAACCTTGTCTCAAAAAATAAGGTAGAGAGCAATTTAGGAAGACACCAAATGTCACCCTCTGTCTTCCACATACACACTTGTGCAGACACATACGTGCACACATATATGTGTACTTGCATGCACATGTGCACACACAAAGATGGGGCAATGGAAAGTAGCATTGTTCAGCTTGGCAAGGTTCCTTCCTGAAGTGATCCAAGAAGGTAGGTAGAAAGCTCTGGAGAGTCATTTCGTATTCTGGGCAATAGTCTCGTATGAGGCATGCGATTCGCAAACACTTTCTCATATTCTGTGAGGTGCCTTTTCATTTGCGATAATAATTTTTGGTGAAGAAACATATTGAATTTTGACAGTCTCTTCTGTCTGCTTTTGCTGTTGTTTTATGCTTTTGTAATAATATCTAGGAAATGATTACAAAATCCAAGATCAAGGCTTAGTTTTTTTATGCAGATATATGGTTGATGTAAAAAGTAGTTTTGTAGGTTAATTTCCTATATTTAAATCAGTTGAGGGTCTTGGGCAAGGTGACACATACCTTTAAGCCCAGTATTTGGAGAAAGGGGCAGGGGAATCTCTGAGCTCCAGCACAGCCTAGTCTGCACAGAGAGTTTCAGGCCAGGAAAGACTACACAGTGAAACACAGTTTGAAAAAAACAAAGAAAAACAAAACCCAACAACATCAGAAAGTAAATTGAGAGTCATATAGAGATGACTCAGATGTTAAGAGCATTGGCTGCTCTTCCAGAGGGCCTGGGTCCAATTCCCAGCATCTACATGGTAAACCAAGTGTAATTCCAGTCCCAGAGGCACCAGCCATGTATGTGGTACACAGACATACGTGCTGGCTAAAACACCCATTAACAGAAAATAAAAATAATAAAAAAGTCAACTAATCGTAGATGGAATTTTATTCTACACATTTAATTCTACTATATTGATCTCACTACAGTATTTAAGTAGCTATATTTTAATAATGAAATTTGGAATAGAGAAATCTTTCTGCTTTATGCAGATTATTTTGGCTTCTCAGGGTCTATTACACAATATGATGTGAACTTTAGAATTAAGTTTGATTTGTTGGAGATGATGTTCAATCTTGGGGTGTGTCATCATTATAATACTGAGTCTTCCAAGATGATGACAATCAAATATTTTTACATCTTAATTTTTTTGTTTATTCATGCTACAAATCTGAGCATAACTTCTGCAAATTCTAATCAACAAAAAACAGAAAAAACAATGACAAAAAAGAAAACGATATCATTGTGATCATTTCTGAACCTGTCAAATAAATGTTTTAATCTCTAACAACAAGAACAGTCAGTAAGTGGCCTGCTGTGACAGCGCATACCTTTAACCCAAGCACTAGGGAGGCAGAGGTAGGTGGATCTCTGTGAGTTCCATGACAGCCTTATCTACAAAGAGAGCTCCAGGGAAGCCAGACCCCATCTCAAAAAGACCAGTATCTTCCATTATTTTCCCTCTACTGTTCTTGACCCCACCCTTTTCTCCCCCTACACAAATACTTTATTTTCTCATAACTGTCACAGCATGGAAGACAAGGTAGACTGTGGATCTGATGATACAAATGTTCCAACTTTAACCACAGTGTCTGAAAGTCGGGATTGCCTCTTTCACAGCAACAGGATGGAAAAGCTATGGATGGTCTGGGGTAGAGCACTCACCTTTCACACGGAGGGCTATTATGTTGCTATTAATAACCACAGAATTAAAGTTTACAGAACAACTATACGACCCAACGTCACTGGGATATACTGGTTCAAAATGTAGAGTAAAAACTGAACCATGGACCTTGTCTTCCCAACCAGTATGTTGCTGAGGTCCAATCTCAAGAGGTAAACAGTTTTGTCCACTGTACTTGCACCAAGTCACATTAGGTCTCTGAGCACAATATGTCACAGGACATTCCATTTTAAAGAACTCTCCCACTGTGGCATATTCTGAATGCCTGGGAACGGTAACTTGTACTTGACATGGCCTTTCACCTAAAACACAAAAAGAAAACTGTAATGAGTATGATCTTCTCAAAGAATCATAGATACCACAGCAATTATTTCCACCAAAGATTTCTCAGGCAGAATTCCATAATCTTCCTCAATACTATTTTCAGTACTTTATCTCCTCTAGCTCAGTGTGGTGCATAGCTGCACATAATCAATATATGCTTTAAAAATAAATTGCTTCACTGAGTGCTGGAGGCTCACACATTTAATCCCAGCACTCTGGAGGCAGAGTAAGGCAGGTTTCTGAATTTGAGGCCACACTGCTCTACAGAGCAAGTTCCAGGACAGCCAGGGCTACACAGAAAAACCCTGTCTCAAAAAACAAACATAAAAACAATTAGTTAATTAGTGAAACATTTAAATTTGATTTTATATGTTTTTTTAAGAACATAGTTTCCTCCAGGGCTAGAGTGTACAATAGTTACTGTAACATATCATTTTGGGAAAGAAGTTAAAGACTATCTCTTAAATTTAGTTGTATAGGACAATCGCAGCCATTACAATACCACTTGTCTTTAAATACTTAATAGTGCCTGTGGTATTTCCTCCCCTAGAAATACTTAAAGTAGGACAAGCAGACACCTGAGTGGTAATCCAGGCAGCAGCTGTGCAGTTTAAGCTCTGTTTGGCAGATATTTTCAAAACCTTCTCTACTCATTCATAACTAGTTATACAAGTGCACTAACTCTTCCTTATCAGTGTGCACATATACTTCCAAGATCCAGAGCAAAACCAGGCAAACAGAAAGATGGCAAACAATTCTAAGGTTCTTACTATGTGCTAAGCACTTTTGGGCATCATATATGGAAGTCCTCCTTATGGTAGAATCATGTCCTGATACACCCATCATGATTTAACATCATTGTAAGCCAAAATTCATTTAGTAAACTTAGTCTACCAAGCACTATATCTGAACCTAACCTTCCTTAAACTTATTCAAAATAGATTAGCCTGCAGTTCGCTCAAGTAAACAAACATAAAGTTTCTTTCATAGTGACGTTTTGGTACTTCATGTAATTTTAGAATATAGTTAAACAAAAATGCTGGCAACATGGTATACTGGATGGTATTGGCCATTTACTTTGGGACTGCATATTTGAGTAGGGATATAGCCAGCACTGCAAAAGGCTATCACAACACATATTCCTAGCCATGGAAAATAGCAACATTCATAGTTTGAAGTGTATTTTCTACTCATTTCATATCACTTACAAATCATTGTAAAATTTTGATAATTTACAAGTTGAACCATCCTAATTAAGGAATCACTCAGAGTGTTGCTTCAGTCCATCACAATAATGACTGAGAGGTAATCACTAGTATTATCTGAATCCTAGAACAAAAAAGCCATCTATCATAGGTTACCAGCTATTGGGAGACAGACTCAGGACTAGAATTTAAACCCAGGTACACTACTCACTCCAAGTCATAGGATGTTATCCAAAAATTTATTTTGAATGGGAATATGTAGTAAAAGTTCTTGGCACTATACTTAGATTATATTTAACAACAGTAAATGCCAAGTGTTACTGTTTTTATATTAAAATGAATTTATAAAACTGACATATAAGTTGAGCAATTGTCAAAAGTCATAAAAAAACTATAATTCTTGGAGCCAAAACAAAAATTCAATGGTCTTCCCAAGTACCTCTGATCTGAAAAGTGAACCCTAGCTACATTCACGGGATTAACAATGGTCTATAATGAGTGGGTCTGTGCCAGGCAAACAAATAGAGAGATTAAAATTTGAATGCTGTATAAAGATGTAATTCTTTCATATAGAGATCTATAGGATAAGACTGACCAGCAAGGCTTGACACAGCTACAAACTAAAGAGCTTTGGCTCTCTTTCCAAGGTGGCTCTTGGTACTTCATTGTAAGTCTACCAGGTGGCAAATGTCACCTCATGTCACCTTCAACCCTATTACTCATTGCCTTTGCTCCACAGCTCAGGGTTCACATGCTTGCCACGTCATGGAGCCTTGTCCTTCCTATGTGTCAATGGTGAGTGTCTGTCAGTTAGGTTGGAAGATAATATATAAATATTTCCAGTGGATAACAGAAAGCTTTTGGTGACTCCAGAGAAGAAAAATTCATGGTGACAAGTTACAAGTGCTTCTGGTCAAGGAGACCCTGATCACCTGGTGTAAGTGGGCCTTGTCTTCCAGAGATGCCAGGTCCATAGATATCTTTCAGAAAGAGAAGCCATTGACAGTAGTGTTTGGTGAGCTCCTCTCATTCTAACAGAAACCAGTCTGTTTTACAAATGATGCCCAGGGAAAGGTGTTTCCTTGCGATGCTCAGTAAGACTTTGTTATGTAAAGAAAGGTACAGTGAAGTCCACCTTCATTTCCCTGCAATATATTTCCTCACTTCCCTAATACAGTCTGCTGCAGAAATAGCACACTGAACTTCGGTGCCTCTCAAGCTCTAGACATGGTTGACCTGTGGGAAATCATGGTTGGTTGTGGGAAAACAAAACAAAACTGCCTATTGTTCCCCAGAGTTCACTTTCCTTTTCAAATAATATTAGAGAAGAAAATGAAATGAGCCATGACCACCCAGCTAAAGTCTGAATTATTCTCCTGCCAATGTTTTCTGAACCATGGACTATTTGTGATAGGTGTAAATTCCAGGCTGTTACTTGGACAAACATGGCAATTAGGAAAGAGGAAAAGGTATTAGAGAGACCTACCAGATAAACTTGTTTTTGTTTGTGACTGTCCTACTTGTTCCATCAGACATTTTCCTATTCTGTGTTTAATAGGGGTGTAATGTCAGACTCTGAGGATGCAAAGAATGAATGGCATTCCTATATTACACAAACACAAGCACATGAGACACTCCTATCATGGGATGAATACATAAATCATAAGGGCAAGAGCAATAAGACAGGGATATGATATTAAGTAATTTCAAGGTAAGAGAACTGAGAACTTGAGAAAAGTGAATTACAAATCACAAATGCTTCCCCTTACTGACACTGTGAGAGAAGCTGAGTAACTCGCCAAAGATAAGCCTATTAGCGCTCATTCTGACTAAAGATGGTAACAGATGGCATGGAGCTAGCCTGGAAGGAAATAGCACTTCCCAACCACTTAAGAAAACAATAAAGCTAATTAAAGTTTGAAATAAAAGAAAACATAACAAATAATCACTCTTAACTAAATTGACACAGTATTTTTGCTCTTCAACATTCTGGGTATTTGTCCAGAAAAAAAAGGCACTTAGTCGGCATAACACCTCAATGAAACACTTGACTGTTTTCTTTTGACAGATGAGGAATTGAGGACTAGAGCTGCTGCTCATAACCAATAGCAGCCATGGTCTACTGATAAAGCTATTTTTAGACACCCATCCTTAACCACTGCACAACAGAGATTGTTCAAGAAAGCAAGCAAAAATTCAGTCACATCATATGAACCTGATTACAAATAGTTTTCAACATTTTTTTTTCCAGCAAGTTCAAACTCCAAGTTACAGCAAAGCATCCAGGTAACGGAAGTTAAGGAGGAAAGTCCCATGGATGTTTGGTGATAGTTTCAAATCAACTTCAGTAACACAATAGAGGACAATTTTATAGTGCGGTAAAGGAAGTAACAGGAACTTAAAGAGCCCTATGATGCTAGTGAGTCAATTTAAGGAGGCAATCAGCTCATAGCTTAATCTGATTGTTCTCAATCCAGGAAATCCTGAAGCATCGGAAAGTATTTCTAGGTATCTTGATACCTTTCGATACACAAAAGCTGTTTGGAATTTGGGGAAAGATGCAGCTCTGCTTCCAGTATTTCATGTGAACATTTCAACAGGAATACTGGAACCATGAAGATGAGACAGAGAGGGGACTAGAGAAATAACTCAGCAGATAAGAGCACTTGATGTTCTTCCAGAGGTCCCAAGTTCAGTTCCCAGCAACCATCTCAGGAAGCTCATAAGCACTGTACCTGAAGATCCCCAGGAGCCAATGCCTTTTTCTGGACTCTATAGGCCCGCACAACATGCAGAGGACCCAGGTTCAATTTCCAGCACCCACATAAGTGTCTGTAAATCCAGTTCCTGGGCAAACTGAGACCTTCACATCATTGCACATAAAATAAAGTTAAATCATTAAAAAAATTCTTAAAAAAAGAAACTTGTGTTCTGGTGGGAGATAATTTCTTATAATATGTTTGAGCCCAGAATTAACTGAAGAACAAGAAACTTCTGCTAACCACTCCACAGGCTTTCCCCTTCTCCAAGGCATGTTGCTGTGTTGAAGCAAAGTGTCGAGAGATAGCAAGAAAGAACTGCAGGTTTTGATAACAAAATGGCTTTCTAGGGATGAGCCAGCATCACCTATGGAGAATCACTTTCTATGTTCAGTTGGCAACCACTTACAAGTCACCTCGTTCAACAATGAAGCAACAACACCAGCGCTCGCTGCTCTACTTCACAGTATGATGCTTGTCCAGTGTTTTCTTTCATATTTCATCCCACGAAAACAAAAAGGGATTGTATTTGGACTGAACATTATTTGAGAGTAATGGTGGCCACAGCTATGAACTCAAGTATCCAACACCTTTCCCACCCAATTAAGCACCACTGCTTCCTGCTGACATCCATGTGGAGAGAACATGAGATTTATTTCCCATTAGTATGACAGCCAGAGAGATTTCATGAGCAATGGTGACAAATTTGTACTTAATCATTTATAATGTCTGCTAAAATATCTTTACAGGACAGGCTTCCAGGAAACTTGGCCAAGCTATGGATTCCGTGTTAGCTCTGTAGGAAGGAAAGTGATCCCCATATTCTAAGTTCACTTACACCCTCTAGTATTTTCAGGAAGCAAAGGTAACTACTGAACTATACGCTAGACATAAACATCCCTCTCCCCTGAGAAAGCTCAACAAGGAAAACCATCACCGACATGAACACTGAGGAAGAAAACAAGAAATCCTCTTAGCAGGTGCCTTACCAAGGATGCTCCAGAAGCCCACATG